TTTTGAAAAACGCGAGAATGATGACGAGAGGCGTCAAACATGGGAGTGCCCATAGTAGACAGCCCTCTAAAGGATTCCTTAGAGTTCAAGCGCGATAGTAGACTGAATGTTATGTAGATGGCAAACATTAAAGCACACACATGGAGAGTGAAAAGAAGACATATTTTTTTGATTATGTCTAGAATATGGAAGATATCAGGGAATGAGAAATCTGCCTCTTCATCTGGATGGGACTGAAGTTTTACGAATTGCGAGAAAGGCAGAAGGGTTTCGAACTTGTTCGTAGATCTTAGAAGGCCAGACATTTCGATCAGTACGGTATTTTGGCCGCAGTGGGCAGTACAAATGTCTTTTACCCTAGCTTGTGAGTACGAGAAACGAACAGTCGTTGTTTTTCGATTGCGAGAACACGGAATAGAAAATGATTGCGATGAACACTCTATTTGAGCGAGTACATTATTTACGCTTGACCTGTAAGTGAAGGTTGTAGGAGCTCTTCTAATACATTTATAACACCCTTTCTAAAGGCGATACCGAGATTGAACGTGAGAACTGGTTTACCACATTTCGAATACGGGTTTTCGAAATATCAAGAGCCAGAGATAGTTCTAACGATGCTACTTGACTAATAACTTTAGGAAATGTTGCGGTTCCAGTTTCGATGACGAACTTAGGATTAGGGTAAAATTGATTGTAAATTGAATAGATTGCTGGGTTTATCATCTGTACAATAGCAATTTACCTCTTCTTGCGCAGGGGTGCAAGTACAGGTATTCTTGACTGTACAATTTACGAGGTGAGTAGCATTCAAGTCACCGCATATGTATGAAAACATAGTGTCTTGAGTGTTATAGAACTTCCAAAATTTTCTCGTTTTCGTTGTCGTTTTCGATATCGTCCGTTATTCCGATTCCTTCCAATTCCCACAAAAATCAGGGAGATCTTCGTCACTAGGTAAGACTGTCATGAGGATGAATTCATTTTCGTGACCTGACCCGGTCAATGCTTACATCGATTTAAGTGATTCGAAGATTTTAAGTTCAATTCACAGACAAGCGTCGAACTTAATGTCCTATTGAGTCCAAGTGATAGCTTACTGTGTTACCCTATTCACGGAGATTCATGCCAAAGATTAAGAACGTCAAACTTGATGGGTAGGTTCTGCAGGCAGTCGCTCCCCGAAGGGGCCCTCACACACATTTACAAAGCCCGAATTCCTATTTCTTGATCAGTTGAATAATTTTCAAGCTGTCATGAGGAGCATCTTTCTTTGGTCATATATTCCAAAAAGCTGTGAGCTTCTTCTGTAGATTGAGAGCCGAGATGGAGAGCAAAAAGTTGTTGTCAGAAACTCGCTTTTGAGTCGATCCGAAGCTCCTTTCCAGTGAAAGAAAAATCGACAGAAATGGAAAAGTAATAGGAAGGCTATTATGGTATCTTATACAGCAGAAGATTATCTATCAGATAGTTAGAACAAATCGGAAACAATTGTCACTCTCCATACAAAAATTTGTGACAGAAAAAAAAACGCCAATACTTATGGGCTAACCCAAGACTTACCTTCCAGTCTCTTTGGCACAAAAACGTAACGCTCACTACTGCTGGATTTCATCAGGATGGCAAATCTGGAGGGTTCTCACCAGCTTTGGTTGTGGACCGAGAAAACTAAGAGCAGAAAGGTTTATTGAGGGATTATTGAGAACCTTCGGGAAGCGAAAGTTGAGGAAGATTAGGAGCTGTTTTTAGGGTAGAAAAGAGACTACGTTCACTCCTTCCTTTTGACACAGACGCATACATTCTAGGCGGAACATTTACTGTTTAGAAACAAGAAAAACAAACATTGGGGAAATGCATACACTCCACAGCACAGATGATCCGTTTCGCCCGTTGTCGTAGACGAATCATCGAAGTCT